AACGTTGTCAGCCTAGGGAGTTTCCTTCATAAATGCATTTATTAATGATACTTGCACTTACCTATTTCATTACAATTTAATGATTCACCTTAGCACTTTAATTTTTGTGAAACAGCTTTCCGTCCCTTGTAAAAGTTGTACTTACCTCAGTATTGGTTGGTTATCGTATGCCGACAACCACGGGATGAAAACGAAACGAAGTCAATTTTCACCCAAAACCTGGAGGACAACTGTACAATTCAATAACTATACGGCCTGGTTCAGAAAATGAGTGTGTATATATATATATATATATCAAATATTTAACAGTTGAAACATTAACTTGTAGACAATCTACGATTTGATATAATATCATACTTGATCGTGCCTGTAAGAACGGCATGCATTTTCATGTAAATTTATATGTTTATATGAGAATACACATTATTATTATGATTATTACAAATTAAGGATAGTGTACTAGATATTTGAAATATGAAGTTTTAGAGGCTGACGGTGGTACGAAGTATACTAGTGCAAGATCTAATATCCAAAACTTCTATAGTATTCGTTCCGCATAGACTAAAGGCGAAGGAAAACATCAGAATTGACCGTCCAAATTACGAGTTATATTTCGGGACCAAATCAGAGTGCGAGCTGATTGCTAGGGATCGTGCATGAACGAACGAACATGGCACGTTGGCGTACAAAATGGCGTGGATGTTTGACCAGAAGCCTTCAGCTAAACAATTTGACTTAAACAGTGAGGGTCGGCATCCAATAATTCAGTGGTAAATGTTGTAGCCAATAATTCTGGGGAATACCTAGCGCAACAAGGTCCATTCCGGAAACTTGTTTCACACATGAACTACATACTTTTAAAGGAATTCCTTCGGATAATTCGAAAAAATATCAAAAAGGGGGGACGGCCAACATATATCTAGAGTTTACAATTCTTTAGAACATGAGATGTATTGTTTATTGAAGGCATAGTGGGTTTTAAATTAAAGCCTTAATTTGGCGGTCTGTTTCGTTAGTTTTTCATGAGGTTATTTTGTCTCACTATAATTCGCTATTAGACAGGGTTGTTGTAGTTTTACTACAACTTCCTAGATGTATTCGACATTGCTGTACTTAACTTAATGGAGGAAGTAGTGGTGAAAATCTTATCTCGTATCAGTTAACATAAAATCAGCTGTAAAAGAATGTCTAAGTTAGAATTCAGCTATCTCTACAGTGTCTCCACGTCATTGCTGTTTAATTTTGTTTGCACGACGACTGCATGCATTTTTAAGGTTGATACAAACCAAGTAACATAGCTAATTACTGTTAAATGCTGTGACATTACTTGAAGAACTTGTTTTTACTATCTGATGTACAGTCAGCAAAATGAAAGGAGACACTAGACGGTATTACTTTTCTTAAATCACTTTTCAGTGTCACTTAGCCGGTTGATTTAGTTTGTTGCTTAAAGGCGAGTCGTTTATTATATCATTTAATGCATGTGAATGTTTCTAAGCGTTTAACGCAGTTCCGGAATATTTTTAAAATCAGTGGCACAGCTCTTGCCTTTCATTTTACCTATCTACAAAAAGATGAGTTTTAGCCCAGTTTCGAATTAAATTTGGTTCAATCCGCAGCCTTTGCAGCAGTTCAGAAGTTTCATGAACTCTCCGTTTGATCCTTCAGTGCGTTAGAGCGGAGACTTTCAGAGCTAACCATTTCAAATGGAATCTTAAATCAGGTGATGGACTGAATATAACTTATCATAAAATTAGTCCTGAACACCCTGGAAGCCTTACTAAATAGTTGTGCATAGATTTCGATGAAGAGCTGTGTAATGTAACCATTTCTGTTAACTGTCGCTATATTTAATTCAAAGTTAACCCGATCCGGGGCTTCGAATCCTTGTAGACTGTTTTTAGGCTGTGTTCAAATTCCTCCGACTCTTGATTTGTCAGTTTTTTGATATGGAAATAATGAAGCACTTAGTAAATGACGTGTCAGGGAAAGTTCATGGTTTAGGATAATATAATGTGTCATCCTAGTAGATACATCAATTTGCACATAACAAGCGTTGCCCATCACATAATGCAGTTTCACATTATTATTACTATGCAATGTAGCATATCCAGGCAATGATGATGTACCGTTATTGAACGTAATACAAAATTATTCTTGTCTACGTCAACAAAGCCTCGCTTTCCAAACTGTTAATAGTACATTTAGTGGGTTGGAGTTTGTCTCAAATATTTATACTCGATTTCAGCTTACATATAACCAGTCATTCTCTTATGATGTGAATTTTATTCCACGTAAGTGTCTTAGTCTTTGGTACTGGAAGTTAGTCTCTCAGTGCTTTGTCTTTTACGTCCGGTAACATTTGATTCTTCGGTTGAGATTGCAGCTCTAATTTAACCGCCATCACATTTTTTATGACTGTAATCTGCGATTCTAAGGTAAGATAACTAGCTGATTTCTTAGACATCTCTACTGTAGTTTACATAGAGCTGACCATGCATGGAGACTTAATGAATACTGATTTGTTCGTCACTTTTAATTGCAAATTCTGCACTTAGCAGAAACGATGATGCTGTTAGTGATTAAAATTATAATAAATGATAATAACAAGAGATGCAGTTGAAAGTCGTAAAAATAATTAAAATAGCAAGACAGCACAGATATTTCAACAATCAAATTAGCTCACGGTGTTGTGATCAAAATCGGAATAATCCTAATAGATGTATGAAATAGTGAGGATTAAGGAGGCGTCGGAAGGTTTTTTTTAAATTCAGGTTTGATGGTCAAGGAGCAATGTTTAAACGCGTGCATCTTTCTCATGCTTTTTGTCGTATTATTATAACCTTTTCACTTTTGCTCAACAATTGCTTGTGATGGGAACTACATGGAATATATTTTTCCTTAAATGGATTGGTTAGAAACCTGCATGTTCCTGCTATTCGCATTTTGTGTGACCCCGTAGGGCAAGAAAGATGGACTTTAGCTCTATTTATTTTATTTCTATATGTGAGCAGTATGGATAGTTAGTTTACATTTTCACGCCTTGCAAGTTTTATTTTTCTAGTGAGATACAGTAGCACCCACTGTGATACTCTACCATACATTTTCGTGTTGCATAGCCACCGGGTTTTGCTATTACTCATGATTGCTAGGGTGTAGAACGAGAAAGCAACATCCAAAAACCTCTCCTATTAAATGATGGCTACTCAACGGTTACGCGTTAATAAAAGTTTTATTTAAAGAGTGAAGATTCTCAGTGGGTGTTGTTAAAAGTCAGATGGATGGGTGGAAGTTGGTGAATGTTGGCATTTCAAATTATACTCCTAGTGAGATTGATTCTCCACAAAACCCACTTATCTTAACTATCAGCAAGTATTCTGCGTTAAGTCTTTTTGCGTAATGCTTTATTTTACTAGATAAATAGAGGGTACACTAGTTGCTTGTCAGGCTGTAACCAACTTCATGTGTCTAGTACTCGGTGTTTTTTTTGTTGCTGATTGGGTACTGTCATTGAAGTTAGCACTGTAGTCACAAATCTAGGCGAATCACCATCTCGGTCGACTTTGAGTTGATGTCCGATTATCCAGGGCAGTTGACAGGAAGCCACGAATTGGCAACCATAGAGAAACTTATATCCCCTTTGATATTCACGCTGGTATCACAGTGCTGCAGTCACAGATTTTACTACTGATCTATTCTGATTCTGTCTGTCTGTTTTCGACATAGAACTTTGCACAAATGTGCGGAAGTTCAAGTCGCCACATTCCGTGTAGCACGCGAAGCAAGAGAAGAAAGTACAAGAAAAGCATAATAGAAACAGTGAGCAGAGGTGTGAGACAAAGGAGTAATAAAGAAATACAAAACAATTTCATTGAAGATCATAAGTCACAGGGAGTGGATGCATCTGCGCCACTGAGAACGATTTTGAGCCATGTCACCAATTGTTTCTGATTCAAAATGAACTGCCTCGTTGACAGGTGCTCGGAAGCATGATACGTGTCTATTCCCTGCAGCCATCTAAATAAGGAATATACTTGGCAAAAAATGTATGCGGTCTGTGGACGAGTGAAAACGAAAGCTAACGGAACTAGTCATCAGTTGGCTGCTGTTATAACAACTAAGTAGTGACTTAGTGTGTCATTGTAGTCACTTTTGGATCGTATAACTAAGCTTCCAGTGGTTGATTTGTGTTACGTAAAAGACCCAACTGAGTGATTTTTGCACCTGATGAACCCTAACCAATATTTGGGGGATAAACCATTGGGTCTCAAAACAGTAGTTATATCAATCTTATTTAAATTTCGTCCAAATAAGATTGGTAATTTTGAGTTTTTAAAATGTTACACATGCCATGTCAAATCAGAACATGGTATCAATTCACGGAGTTTTGGTTTGAACTGCGTAGAGGTGTTGGCTGCACCACTGGGGTTCTCGAGTTGCTAAGATCCAGCGGCTTGAAGCTGTTGGTGACGTGGGTCAATATCATCCCTAATGGTGCAGGAGCCGAAAGTCCTAGGTTGACGACTGATTTTATTGAATAAATTGTCACCTAAGTAGTAGACGAAGTTTCTCAGTATTTCTGAGTAGGGTGACCGTCTACTTGCGGTGTGTTAGTAGTGTGTTGGTTTATTGTAAAATCTGTTTCTCTTCACTGTGGTTCAAATGTTTTGGTAAACAACCGAATTCACGTTTTATCACAAAAAACCTGTTATTGATAATGATTTAACTCACATACGTATTGTTTTTAAATTTCCATACTGGCATAAAAAGGGTAGTTCCAATTCATCTGTTTTTGTGATATGACGAAGGAATATAGTTATCAAGACTATTTGATTATGCGTCCTTTGAGCATTGCTAACCTGAGGATTCTAAAACCAGTAATTTTATGAAATGCCTGTTATACTTATTGAAGTCCTTATGTAGCTAATTTGGACATTAACGCATTCTTTTCCTTTGTAGGAAGAAGTATCTGTCCAGAAAAGGTATATGGGATTAGGATAATGCGGAAGTAAGATTCTTTTCTACGTAGTAAATTATAATTCCACAGGAAATCCTTCACCACGAAATGCCGCGTGGATGAAGATAATGTTCCGGAGCCTTGTAGAAGTGTAAATGAAGAAGCCTCGCATAGTGATGCAGATTCAGATGTTGTTCAGATAACTCCTCTCTTTCTCATGGATAGTTCAGGTCATCCAGTTTTACAGGATGGTAGGCGGTAAATCTTCAAATTACTTTTACTTTAGGTACACCCGTTGTTGAGCCGGAGGTGGTCATTGATTCAGTGTCAGATGAAAATTCAGCAAATTCACGAAATACCTCAAGAATACCGTCTAGCTTCAGCCCAGGTGTTATGGACTGTGTTAAATGCACCGCTTGTTGTTATAAAATACAACCATTCACTATGCCATTTAGTGTACATCCATTACTGAAAGTATTGTTATGCAATGTAAGCCTGCTAATGTTGTCCTAATAATTTTTTCTGATAGCGCTGTACAAAGTACTGTGAAAAGCAAGACTTTGCGAAAGACGAGTCAGGAAAAGATGAAAACTGCAAGTGGTGTTCGGATGGTGGAGATCTTGTCTGCTGTGACAACTGTTCTCATGCAATTTGTAAGAAGTGTATCAGACAGAATTTGGGAAGAACTTATTTGCGTAATATTGAGTCTCTGGGTGAATCGGATACTTGGAATTGTTTTGTTTGCGATCCAACACCCATCAAAGCACTGCAAGACAACTGTTCTGAGGTTGGTTTTATTTTTAACATGTTGAACTATGACCTAGTTGATTGTAGTTAGAACTCACTTATCCAGGACCGGCATTTTTATGTATGTTTTGGTATGTACTATGAGGCAGATGTCGTGTGCATAGTAATGATACTAGCCAGTTGTTAAGGCTAAAGTAGCAAGTGAAGCAGAATACGAACGGGGGGCACCCAGTGTCTGAAAGTGAATTGCCTAACCCAGTTAGGTATATGGTTGTTATAAGTTTTGGTTTCAATAATTTGCAATAGTTGAGTTTTTTCGATTCGTTGATTGGTTCTTGTGCTATTTTCTAAACATAAAAACTCAGTCTCCTATCTACTCCATTTAGTAATTTATGGTGTTTATATTCTTTACGGATTTAAATAGTTTGAGAAATATCTGTTCTTATCTCACACTACGACACTGCAGTCGTTAGGATGTCGAATTACTTTGGCTCTCCCAATTTTTCCTTCAGTGTAACTGTCATGTATTGGCATTGACTGGTGTTATTTATTCAATCAACTAACCAACACATACTTGAGTATGTTGTAGAGAGGTGTAAACCGTAGAAGAGTAGGAACGTTGCCTTTTTTTAAATTCTGGACAGGGTAGAAAATTGGCGTACTTTAGACGAGTTCTCTTCCACACTATCTGTTTTTTTGTATACATTTATTAGTTTGTAATATTTGGAAAACTGTGTTTATATATTCGTTCAGTTGCGCATAGTAGCAGTAGTGTTTCAGGTAGGGATAAATTTTTCACTATTCCACTCTTCATGTATTTGTCGCTGATTAGCTTCTTACGGTGGAATAGTTGTCTGTGACTGCAAACTTTTGATTGTTTTATTTTTCGTTTTGTTTTTGGGTGTTATTTTTCCAGTCGTGTGTGTGTGTGTGTGCTTAATGCTTCATTGATGTTTTTGTGCACACAAGAAATTCATTCTGTAATCGTGGTCTTGTTAGTTTTGTTTTTTGTGACTGGGTTTTAATTGACAATTTATGACCACTTTTTGTTTTACTAGATTGTCAATAAAGTTGCAGAATACGAAGCTATCAAAAGACGTCGGTCAATGAGAAGTCAGGAAAGTCGACGATCTCGTAATAAAAGCCAAGTTAGTGAGCCTACTGTCGGTGATGTATTTAATTCATCTTCTAGTCCCATGAACTTTATGATTCCCAACACTGTAGAAAGTGAGTTAATTCTGTGAACGTCTTATGACAGATTTTTTCGGGGTTTTGTCCTACTTTGTATTTTAGTAAAATGATGTTTAACTGATTTGTTTGACTACTTGTACAAAAGTAAGTCTATGCCGTCTGGCCATTATCGAACTGAATGTTATCTTTTTCAAACTGTTCACGGTCACCAGTCATTTGTGTCTATTTTCGGTTAAAACAGTAAAATACAGTATTTCAAGTCCCTCTATACCATATCCATTCTTAGTTAAATAGCTTAAGTAGAATGGTTTGTTGTTGTAATGCTGCAAAGAGGGATTCTTATCAAAGAGAATGAAAGGATGATAAAAAAAAGTGCACTAGCATATTCCTTCAAGATGATTGATTGAGACAGAACCTGTATATAGATAGCCCCGGATTAGAAGGTCTAATTAACTCATGCAACTAACTTCAGGTTAGAGTTAAATCATAGAAATTCTGTGTGAATAAATGAGTATCGACAACTGAAAGCATGATTTCAAAAGTATTAGGGATTACACTCTACCACAGTGCACAAGTTTTATTCTTATATCACTATCAGAGATTGAGAGTCAATATGGTGACATAAATTATGTGCGTTTGGATCCTAGTCAAACAAACGTAGTAGTTTCCTGTCAATTCGTTCGGCAAATAAGTGTTTCAGGATTTTCATCATGAGCTGACATTAGTTAGAGAACCATTGGAAAACCTGGGAGTACTGGACAACTGTTTCGTTCTAGTTTGGGACTCTAAACAGCTTGAGCCGCAATCTACGAATGTTTGGCATGCGATTCGCTCCCGCCAAATGCAAGATGATGTTACAGGACTGGACTACATCGACGCCTAGTTTAAAAATAGGAAGTGAAGTGGTAGAGCACGTTGACCGCTTCACTTATTTGGGAAGTACCATCAGCCAACGCCAACGAGCTGATCTCTGACGAAATCTCAGCACGAATACAGGGGGCTCGTTTCGCATTTGCCAGTTTACGCCGACTCTGGCGTAGACGAGATGTTCGACTATCGACCAAAGGGCGGGTGTACTGCTCATCAGTCCGCTCCGTCCTCCTTCATGGCTGGTTGTGAGACCTGGCCACTGAGAGTGGAAGACATGAAAAGACTAGCTGTCTTTGATCATAGGTGCCTGCGCTCTATTTCCCGTGTAAAGTGGCATAATAAGGTGAGCAACATGGAGGTTAGGCGTAGAGTTCTAGGTAAACAGGGGAAATCAATCGACGAAGTCGTGAAGCTACATCGACTGAGATGGTTAGGACATGTGTTACGTATGCCAAGTCATCGCCTCCCTCGACGAGCAATGTTAGCGGATATAGGGTCAGGCTGGAAAAAAGCTCGCGGCGGTCAAACAAAAACTTGGCATCAGTCAATGAAATCCACAACAGTTGGTCTAAGCCACGTAGGAAGGTGTAGACTTCCAGGCTGGGGTCCTCGGGACGGTAAAAATCTATGGTTGGAAACAATTGGTGACATGGTTCAAAATCGTTCTCAGTGGCGCAGGTGCATCCACTTCTTGTGACTTATGATCTCCAATGAAACTGTTTTGTATTTCTTTATTACTCCTTTGTCTCACATCTCTGCTCACTGTTTCTGTTATGCTTTTCTTGTACTTTCTTCTCTTGCTTCGCGTGCTACACGGAGTGTGGCGACTTGAACTTCCGCTTATTTGTGCAAAGTTCTATGTCGAAAACAGACAGACAGACTCTTCATCAGTACCCACCCACCACAGGGGTTCGAAATCCAGGACCTTCTGGTTACAAGGCGAGCTCGTATACCATTAAGCCATTGGGACCCGATCCAATGGTCCTTCAGTTCTAACTTCTGCCAATTCACGACATAGCGCGACCCCAGCCGATGTCTTCGGCGAGTATTTGTCCTCACACCCGACCTGCTGCACCCTACTGGTCACGACTTCTCACTAGAACCCCAGGGAACTACCTACCTGAATAGGACCAGTCGCTAGTGTTTACTTACTCCCGTGAAGCTCTGAAGTATATGTGTAGTGTTTAGGTGACCGACTGACTATGCTTATTTATCCGAGTTTTTGCGCCTGTACATCTACAGCATCCCTTTGATATGTCAACCTTATCAGTTTAGAAGCAATTAAAAGTAAAGTAGTTGCCCAGTAATCTTTTCTTTTTGGGTTTATTTATTGGCTAGACAACGTGTTTACGGATGATAAATACACTAGTTTAAAAAAAACATTCCAAATTGTTTATACGTATTTCTCATGCTGATGTGTATGTGTATGTGTGTGCGTGTGTGTTAATGATTCCCCCCATATTTAATCTCTATTTCTAATGTGTTTCATTATCTTAATACAGTGCCTAAACCAACCACATTGCCAATTCCTGATATACATTATACCAATGTTGTCAATCCTAAACCCATTATTAAAATAATCAAAGTCAATACACCGACTGTTGTAATTAATCCTGCACCATTAACTTCTGAATCAATTGATCTTCTCAGTATTTTTAATCAAATATCTAGTGTGAATGAAACAAATGTTAAAACAGCTTTACGTGCTTCTCAAAAGTGTTTAGATATATTTCTGAAAGATATTCGTCGATTAGAAAATAATCTAATGCGTAATCCACCGTTAATGCAGTTAAGTCAAGTGGCTCAATCATTTCAAAGTATTTATAAATTTCATTTATTTACACGTTTGGGTAATTTAAGCGCCAGAATGCTAGAAGAAGAAGAACTCATTAACAAGACATCAAGAAATACTATTATTAATAACAATAATAGTAATAATAATAATAATAATAAACAAACAATCTCATTCCATCCAGTGCCTATACTTCCAAAAGTCAGTACAATTCCTATTTCTGTTCCTATACCGACTAATTCAATGAGTATGACAATTGATTTAACAAATGAAGACAGTCCTTTGAAATCCAACACTTCAGAGAGTGAAGCATTACTCGTCAGTTCCGAATTGATTCGTACACAACAAACAACACCTACAGTTACAAACGATATTGACAATATCAAAAGTAATAGTAATAATAATAACAGTTACAAAAGAAGGTTATGCGAATCAGAAAGTGAAGAAAAATTGGAGTGTGGAAAAAAGCTCAAATTAGGTCTGATTACTGAATCGGACACAGTAAAACGAGAGGTAATTGTTAATTGTTGTTAAATAACACGTTAATTATTATTATTATTGCAAATAACTTTCAAAAAGTCTTTTGCTCTTATCAAGTTGCTAACTGTTTATTTATTACTTTAGTACGGTTTACTTTCTTTGAAGTTTTCCATGAGCGTACTTGACAGTTTTTAATAGTTGCGTCTAGAAAGTTGATGCGTGTCGCTTAAGAATATGTGAATGATGTTGATCTTTTAGTTATATATATACATACTGCTCAGTATCATAAAATATGATTAATAATGTCGGTTCGTCATCATCGAGTTCAACGGCAGTTAGGATTGATAGAGGAAACAGTATGCACATAGTGGCAAGAACTAACTAATCTTTGGTATAAATTGATTTTCGAAATTGTAAGCAACTTTATGAATACTTTCTTACAATTTGGGTTAATTTTAAGTTAAGTCCCTTTTTCATATGTAATCTACCCTAACTTACGCGACTGAGGTATTAGTGTAAGGGGAGAAAACAAGAGACGTGGTAACAGACTTTTTGTCAGTGAAATAAAAACATCCCATCTGTCTTTGTCTGTTTGTTTTCGACATAGAACTTTGCGCCGATGTGCAGCATTTCAAGTCGCCACACTTCACTCAGCACACGAAGCAAGGGAAGAAAGTAGAAAGTAATAATAATAATGATTTACTTTATTCCAAAAACAGTACTTGTGATACAGAATGGGATTTTCAGCATTAATCACAATATTGCATCTAATTTCCTCAAACTATAAATAAAATTAATCACAGAAAATTTTCCACATTTACAATAAGGTTAATGTGAAAAACATGCAGCATATAAAATGGAAATAATAATAACGATAACAGCTGAGGTTATAATAATAATACAAGTGAAAAGTAAAACTTGAAGGTATATAAGGATGGCTAGAGGTAATTGTTTATTTACTAGATGCATAATGGAGACAGTGGACAGGGATAGGAGAAAAAAAGAATAGTAATAATGAAGAACAATATAGTTTCATTGGAAATCATAAGTCACAAGGAGTGGATGCATCTTCACCAGACATTGAGAACGATTTTGAGCCATATCACCAATTGGTTTTCACCTTCCCGAGGACCCCAACCGGAAAGTCTACACCTTCCTACGTAACTTAAACTAACGGTTGTAGATTTCATTGACTGGTGCCATGTTTTGTTTTGACAGCGACTAGCTCTTTTCCAACCTGACCCTATGTCAGCTAGCATTGCCCATCGAGGAGGGCGATTACTAGGCATACGTAACACATCTCCTAACCATCTCAGTCGATACAGCTTCACAGTCTCGTCCGTTCATTTCCCCTCCTTACCTGGCACTCAATATTGCTCACCCTATTATACCACTTCACACGGGAGATAGAACACAGGCACCTGAGATCCAATACAGCTAACCAGCCAGTCTTTTCATGTCTTCCACTCTCAATGGCCAGGTCTCACCGTCATAAAAGAGAACGGAGCACACTTCTGAGCAGTACACCCGCCCATTGGTCAAGAGTCAGATATCACGTCTACTAAGCCAGACGGCGTAAACTGGCATATACGAAACTAGCCCTCTGTATCCGTGCTGAGATTTCTGTTATGTACTCGTCGCTAAATTATTGTTATGGACTGGTCGAGAAACTAATAGTCCTGACGCGAGAAGGCGGAAATCAGAAGACCACTAGGTTTGCGATGATACTTCTATTGTCCAAACACAAGGAGACGAAAATAAATGGTCTCACACCAAAGTGGTAAGTAAATAAAGTAGAAGTAAAGTAGTTCACACAAATTGTGAATGCGAAATATATATGAATGTTCCAGACAAAGCGTGGGAATAAATCATTAGACAGTCTTAACATGAATGGCTAATTATAATGGAGTGTCGATCCAATTATACATAGCGAATATAGCAGACATGTCAACAACCATATATGGATATATGTCACCAAGCAACGGACTGTCAACATACACTCATATTATATATAATATAATATAAGGAGAATATACATTGTTAAAGGAGACAAGTTCAGACCAGTGAAATGGTCACAGACTAAGCGAGCAAACAGAAAGAGAGACCAACATACACACACACACATAAATATATATATGTGGATACATATCACCTCCCCTTTTGAGAAGATGGATGATTAGTAGGATGTTTACCTGGGGGTTTATCTGGGACCTTTGGGCTTGTTGTTGACGCCTGTCGTTTCGTCTGCGTGTTGGGTTTGCGGCTTCGGCTCCGTCCGGAATTGTCTGACATTTTATGCTTCTTGACTGCATTGCATAGAGAATTTAGTGGGACATCAGCCAGATGCAAACGATCGAACCAATCAAGTCCCAAAAGATTTAAATCACTCTTGGTGACGTAACAAATTCCTGTGAATTTGGTATTGCGGAAGGAAACAGAACATTTGAGTTCACCAATTAGTTTGAGGCGCCCACCACAGGCGCTGAGAAGAGACTGGGAAGTATTGGTGATAGGTGGTCTGCCAAAATAATTCCAAAGTTTCTCTGATATAACAGTAATATCAGAGGCGGTATCTAGCTGCAGACGTGCATCATGACCATTCATCTGAAGGTCAATATATTTCCGCATAGCTGGTGTTGTGACTTGACAGGTTGCGCATAGACTCAGTGATCTTTTTGGAGATTTAGGACCAACAGTTTGTCGAGCTTTTGCTGGATTATGATATCTGAGTTGCGTGGCTGACAAAAACCATTTTTATGACCGATGATTTTGCACTTGCTGCAACGATGATTTTTGTACGGACAAGACTTTACAAAGTGCCACGCGCCACAATGCCAGCATGGTGATGGTGGGGTCTTCTTTGCAGTATTTTGTGAAGTTGGACGAGTATGTGTAGATTTCCGCGGGACATTAGAAGAAGGTGGGTCAGGAGTAGATGATGAGAGATTTTTGCTCTTTCGTAATGCACGAATATCAGAGCTTCTCGGAGGTGTTGATTCGACCAGGTGTGTGTCTTTCTGCAGATTAATCAGCCGTTGATATTCATCAGCTATGTCATGTAATGTTAACTTGGGATTTTGTTCTAGCTGATTGAGCAGTCGAGTTCGGATATCTGTGAAACGAGGAGATTGGAGACTGCATATGAGAATCAAGGCTTTGAACTGATCATCTGTTAAGGACCTGAGTCGAAATCTCTCACATTCTCGGTTGACTGTGCCAACGTGAGTAAGAAAATCATCATTTTCATTCATTGTCAGCTTGAGGCAACGATAACGTATGCTGAATAATGAGGAGTGGTCTCCAAAATGTTCACGCAGCAGCTTTATTGTATCATCGAAACTCTTGTCACGTGGTTTCTGGGGTAAAATTAGGTTGCAGTACCGTTCATATTCTGCCGGACCCAATTTACGTAAAACACTCGCACCTTCCAGGCATCGTCTTGTGAGGCGAGATCAACAGTGAATAAATCCTCATAACGTTGATACCATGTGTCAAAAGTGACATTAGCCTCTGGGTCATAATTGAACTGTGAAATACTGTTCACAATTCCGTCGACAGATGGTAGCATGGTATGATTGGGATTGCTTGAAGGTGAAGCTGGACCAGTCTGTTGGTTGACGAACATTTCCATTAATTTCATTTGTTGTTCAAACAATAATTCCAATTTAGAATAATCCATAGTAAATTGTTATGTTGCTGCTGCTGAGTGGTTAATAGTAGTTTTCCCCGTCGCCAAATTGTTATGTACTCGTCGCTAAATTATTGTTATGGACTGGTCGAGAATTTAATAGTCCTGACGCGAGAAGGCGGAAATCAGAAGACCACTAGGTTTGCGATGATACTTCTATTGTCCAAACACAAGGAGACGAAAATAAATGGTCTCACACCAAAGTGGTAAGTAAATAAAGTAGAAGTAAAGTAGTTCACACAAATCGTAAATGCGAAATATATATGAATGTTCCAGACAAAGCGTGGGAATAAAGTATGCGCTGAAGATGTCACCCAGTAAGGTGATGAAAGCTTCGCAAACTAACTATCCAGCTCAGAGAACAAAACCACATCAAAACATTAGACAGTCTTAACATGAATGGCTAATTATAATGGAGTGTCGATCCAATTATACATAGCGAATATAGCAGACATGTCAACAACCATATATGGATATATGTCACCAAGCAACGGACTGTCAACATACACTCATATTATATATAATATAATATAAGGAGAATATACATTGTTAAAGGAGACAAGTTCAGACCAGTGAAATGGTCACAGACTAAGAGAGCGAACAGAAAGAGAGACCAACATACACACACACACACGTAAATATATATGTGGATACATATCAATTTCGTCAGAGATCAACCCGTTGGGGCTGATGGTACTTCCCAAATAAGTGAAATAAGGCGGTCAACGTGCTCTATTAATTCACTCCCTACTTATAAGCTAGGAATCAGTGTAGTCTGGTCCTGTAACATCATCTTGAATTTGGTGGGAGCGAATCGCTTGCCAAACATTCGTAGATTGCAGCTCAATGTGTTCAGAAGACTCTGCACTTTGTCAGCGTCTTCACCTAGTTGGAAGGACTATATCATCTGTATATTCTAAGTCAACGAGATTATTCCCTGGTGGTAAATAGTCAATCCCTTAGTCTCTGAATCGAGTTAGATTTAAGTCCATTAGTACGTGTATGATGAAATTGAACAGAAATCGGAATAGTGGGCATCCTTGACGGACACCACTAGTTGTCACTAGTTCAAATGACAACTCGCCGGAAGCTCTCACCTGGCTGACTGCATGAGTTCAAGTAGAGTCCCGTGATCAGTGCAGTGTATTTTCTCAGCATTCATTTCATAGTCAAACAGCCAGAGTACCTCTCTGTCGACAGAATCGAATGCTACCTTTAGGTCAAGAAATATAATGATTGTTGGACACCGGTAGGAAAGCCTATGATCCAGAATCTATCGAAGGGTGAAGATACGATAAATACACTCTCTTCCTGGTCTAAAGCTGGCCTGGTTCTCTCCTGTTTG